TAAATAGTTAAAAAAAAAAAAAAAAAAGTCGTCATATTGAGGAATACATGGTTTTCCTCGTTGAGTAATTTTTATTTGTATTTATTAAAACAGTTTGTTAACTTTTTCTTTTAAAAGAGATTTTAAGTTATATTGTTAAAAATGAATAGCTAAATTTATTTATTTATATATTCATTTTTTTATCGACTTAATCTGGTTCAACTTATTGACCCCTATTCTTTTAGGAAATCAGGACTCGAGTCGATTTTAAGACGTTAACACTAACACATTAATGTAGTCTCAATTGCGTCAAAATGCGATGAAATTTTAGGTCCTATCTTCTAACTACATGATAATATAATAATTGTATGATTAATATCAAACAATAAACAAAACAAACCAGAATAGGATAAACATAAGATAAGAGTTAATTACATTATTAATCATTAAACTTATCGTAGATTACTATTTGCTTACTAAACAAAAATGTTATAAATTATTTGTTGGTCGATTCAAATAATCATCCATCCATCACATTGAGTAAAATTCATTACTCTAACTTGATGAAAATTGCCATGTGTCCGATGAAAATTAGAGATGAAAATTGCCATGTGTCCGATGAAAATTAGAGATGAGTAATATTTTTCATTGATCAGATAGTATTAGCGATCACTTATTTAATTAACTCAATATGATAATATCGAATGTTAATAACTTTATAATCAAATATATCTTTCAGAAGCTTTCGGTTTTTACTTTTACTTTTCGCTTTTTCTCAAACACTTAAACCTGCAATCAGGCCAGAAAGCTGGAAACTCCAATCCGATTGAAACAGTATGAAGGATCATCAGATTGTGAAAGGAGAGGAGTTTGAGAGAAAAGCTGAGAAGAAGATTAGTTGTTGGGGTTTATTTTGTTCTAAGCATGAGGATGCTGCTGATCTTTATCAAAAAGCCGCCACTTCCTTTAAACTCGCCAAATCATGTGAGCCCTTCGATTTATTGTTTGAAAATTTCAACCTTTATTGAGCATCGGGTTTGTTTTAAAATGTTAACTTTATTAAGAGGACTGGCTCATATTTTAGCTATTGGATTTCGACTAATCAAAAGCTATAAAAGGATCCAATTGCTCGTTTTAGATTTTGGGCTCAGATACTGAGTCATTGTTTTCAATGTAAAATGGCAATATTGGAGGAATAAGTTAAAGTCCTATATTTTGGTTAGTGTTTTTATCTTTAACAGACTTGGGATTTTACTTTAACAAGCTTTATCTTCTGTTGATGTAAGGAATTATGATATTTTGTTTTATTATGAATGACTTTGTTCCATAATTGAATCTGAACAGTGTTAGTAGGGAGATTGCGATTCTTGGTTCTATTCTTTTTCCTAGTGTTATTAAGTGCCTTTGCTTTGTGAAGAGTATTTGATCATCTGGATTAGTAATATAGAATGCTTAGGCTATTACTTGGCTTATGGGGAACCTCGGAATGGAGTTTTAGGCAGAAATTTGCGGAGGCATGATTCTTTAAAACTCAGTTTCATCCACACATTCTCTCATTAAAATAATTCTGAGCATAAATCCATAACTTTTCCTACTTTTTAACCAACATTCTCCAAAAATACGACTTTTCACCATAACCATTCTCAGAAAAACTACAATAAACAGGCCCTAAGCAAAGAACTTGTCTTTTTATTTACTTTTTTACGTTTTTCGAAGGGTGAAAGTGTATGATTCTGTAGTAAGCATGAACTATAGATTAACTTGATTAGAAATTGGAATTATAGTGATTGCTAGTTATGGTGAAATTCTGTTTAGATTCTTAGGATGCTAATATACTATTTTGGTGTTTCCCAGGGGATAGAGCTGCAATGGTCAATATTAAATTGGCTAACTGTAATTTGAAGGTCGGTGATTTGGCATTTTTATGGCTGTAATAGAATTGTGCATGTGATAGCAATAACTCATAACCTTTTGCAGTTGGGTATCAAGCATGAAGCAGCGCGTGCTTATATTGATGCTGCGAATTGTTACAAGAAAACGTCCCCCAAAAGTGTGTATTATCTTCATTTGATTATGATGATTATAGTTATTAAGTTTAGTACCAAAAGTATTGAGAAGTGATTTGGAAAATGTTGTTTATATCTGCTTAGAAGTTGCGAATGAAGTATATTGTTTTTGTTGGGGGTTTGCAGAGGCTTTATCATGTTTAGATCAGGCTGTGAATATGTTCTTGGAAATCAGCAGACTCAACATGGCTGCACGTTATTGCAAGGTACATTCCACATGCTATNTAGATCAGGCTGTGAATATGTTCTTGGAAATCAGCAGACTCAACATGGCTGCACGTTATTGCAAGGTACATTCCACATGCTATCGTATTATTCTTCTTCCAAAATTGAAATAGAAGTAGGCAGGGTAATATTTGACATTGCTTCCAGACTCGCATAAGAAACAAGTAGATAAAATTGCGACCAATACAAGCAGCATTATTAAGGAAGACATATTTCTAAGTTACCTTACACGTAGAAAGAAAGACATAATTATATATTTCGAACATAAGGTTTATTAAATCATTAAAGTTTTCTGCTTACCAATCTCCAATTATTTCCTCATCTTTAAATTACCGTTTCCTTCATGCCAAGAATTTTTTAGCAAATGATTTTTAAGCTTTTGTGTAGAACGTGTATAAAATCTTCTAATTATGGGATGATCCCTAACTATGGGAAGTTGTCAACTTTCCTTGATTCTTTAGGAGATTTTATCTTTCTACCATATTGGGTCTTGTTATCTTTTTTGTAAACCAACTATGTCGTGTGTATATGTGGGCAAATTGTAAATTTTAATATATGAAAAAGAAGGGTTTCTTCTTCCTACAATTTTGTCATACAATAGCATATAGTATCAAAGCCCACTAGCTTCAAACAATTCCGATCAAAATAAGACTCAAATGAGCATAAGGATTCCAAAATTAATTTTTTCAAGGGAGAATCATCTTGCTAGAGCATGTTAAAGATAAATGCCACGTCGGATAAATATAAGAACATTGACAAACGTATTAAGGTTTGGGCTATTTTTTTTTAACAAAGTTGACCTTTAAGATAGAAGTCCAAGTCTTAGTAATAAACCTTTAAACCTGTACTTGACTTGAGTTTAATGCTTATCTAGGAGATTGGCGAATTATATGAGCAGCAAAAGAACTTTGACCAAGCACTTTTGTATTTCGAGCGGTCTGCGGACCTATTTCAGGCTGTGGAAGCAACAACATCTACATATCAGTGCAGGTTGAAAGTCGCACAATTTTATGCTCAGTCAGGGAAGTAAGTGATCTCAACTGATTCTATGTCACTCTATTTTTATTTATTTATTTATTTATTTATTTATTTTCCCAAAACTTTGAATTTAAGCTTACTACTTTCCATTTATTGGATTGAACAAATTGGGAAAGATAAATTACATGTTCTTTGTGAAGTTATGCCTCTAATAGAAATGAAATATGTAAACATAATGAGCAGGATGTGGCAATTGGTAATAGTTGTGCTAACCGAACTCTAGGCGATTTGAATTCGTAAGCATGCTTGAGAGTGCTTTTTAGTAATAATAAATTGTGTGTCCTACAAAATATGTAGATAAAAATGGCCAGTAATTGTGGTCGTACGAAATGTGTAAATAAAAAGCATGTAAGGCAACTTAAATTATAGTATTGCCAAACTTGCACCATATCTATGTGGAATAAGCAAATACCTTTTGTATTCAGATATCCTCAGGCAATCGAAATATATGAAGAGATAGCACGTCACTCCCTAAACAACAATTTATTGAAGTATGGAGTTAGAGGGCATCTTCTTAATGCTGGAATTTGCCAACTTTGTAAAGGAGAAATTGTTGCGATAACCAATGCACTGGAAAAATATCAGGTATACATTCTTCTTTTATCTAGACCATTAAGTTAGTTCTCCCTGTAGTAATACTGGGAATCAACAATTTTCCATTGCTCGTGTAGGACATGGATCCTACTTTCTCAAGGACTCGGGAGTACAAACTCTTAGTTGTAAGTTTTCATTTAATGTTGGTTTGATGCATCAATTTTTAAAGATGTCATAGGGCTGCTGTTTTTTTTCACGGACTGGTGCTTTATATACTCAATTTTTAGAATAATGGTATCTAGACAATCAGTCTAAGTGGTACTATGTGATGTGTTCAATTAAATGTGGAATTATGTGACACAGTTAATTTGGCCTCTCATTTAATGTCACTTAGTACCATTTAGACTGGTATTAACATGTGCTATATAGCATAACTCTAGTTTTTATCTTCGATGCTATAAAGTTATAAACCTTGCTAATGTGATTAGAGTTCTTTTCTTTTCTTTTTTCTTTTTTTGCTTGTTAGGATTTGGCTGCTGCAGTTGACCAGGAAGATGCTGCAAAATTCACAGCTGCTGTAAAGGAGTTTGATACCATAACCCGGCTGGTAAATTATTATTTGATTTAATCTTATTATTTTTCTAGTAATTCCTTACTCCGATGTGAAAGATTATGCCTCTCTCTGAAAAGATCTCAACCACAAAACCAAATTAATGAAATCTATTGCACATCTTATGTAGGCATCAAAAAATAAGATCTTGAATCTTAAATTAATCTCCAACTAATGCAGGAGCATGGTTGAAACGGGGGTTGGACACAAGGAAGTGGACTTGGAATAGATTCCTGAACTTGATTCTAGGTGATATAAGATGGATTGCATTAGTGCCATGAGCTATAGCTTTTAGAAAGAGTGGTGGCAATACCTTATGTCACAAACACACAAACACAATAAAATAGAGAAAAAAGAACCCGAATCAAAGAAATAGGAGTGATGTTTATAAAAAGTCTGAAACCGAACTTTTTATTTTTATTATATTTCGTAAAAGTAACTTGTGTATTTTCGACTGTAAACTTGTAGCTCATGTTGTTTCCTATTTCTAAATGCCACAATACTCATTTCCTAGTCGCTTCCAGGAAACTTGGAGGACCACTCTTCTGTTGCGAGTGAAGGAAACTCTAAAAGCTAAAGAACTTGAAGAGGATGATCTGACCTGACTGGATATAACTACTGAAACTTTCTCCTCTTTACCATACAAAATAACATATGGTCGTCATCATTGTTATTATTACCGTTATTTTTGGGATTTATGGAGTTCCCTGTTTGTGAATAACTTTGATTCAGTCCATGAACTTTTTGAAATATGTATATTACTTGATTTACTTGATTTCATTTTATAATTGTAGTTCTTTCCTATTAAATTTGGGAGATATGATAGATAAAGTATTTATATAATTTTATATCCAGTGTCTGGATGTTTGATTTATTATTAAATTAACCAAAAAATGACGTTATCATTTTTTTTTTCCAATTTTCTTTATCAATTTGTTATTACATAACGCATGGTTGTTTTAGCTTCATTATGCTCTTCATTACATATTCAATTATCAATTTGAAAAGAATGGTGCTAATTTATGTGGTGCTTTAAGAACTATAACATTTTTTGGATGTTGATATTACTTTTATGCTTTCAGCAGCCCACCTCGGATTCACTTGATGCAACATCTCTGTTTCATACTTTATGCTTAGCATTAAATTACCTTCTCATCAAAATTTTAGCCTCATAAGTTGATGTGGTTGCCTTTTAGTGTTGTTGGTTACAGCTTGATGTAATACCTTGTGCTTGCCTCTACAAATGGTAATCATCCTGTCTGCATTCTAACAAGACAGAATTGGGAGCGAGATCCAGGATTGTTTAGTCACGGCCGTAAGTATAAATCATATCATGCTTTATCTACTTACCATTGAGCTCAAATATTCTTGTGCTCCGCTCCCAAATTGCACCCTGGTCAATTCCAAATTTCTTGAATCTTTTAGGAATTGGATATATTAGTGCAATAAAATATAAGTAGTTTTTCCATGCAGCATATATGCATAATCTGATCGTGCTCACTTTTTGTGGGTATGTCGATTGTTGCACAATATTTGTTATGATATTCAAGCTCTACTTACTGTTCTAATTTTTCCTTACCTTTTTTGTAATGAATGGAATAGCAAGATTTTTAGTACAGCTTTCTCCATTGTTAACCATGGTCTTCGAATTAGGCTACATATTGTGATTGTTGTAGTTCAAAGGAGAAATCAGAAACTAGGGTCAATTGTGTGGTCTAGTTGATGTAACAATCCAACCTCTGTACCCAAGCCATTATGTCATACGTACTTCTCATTATGGGAGAGCCTAGCCTATCTTACCTCTCGAAAATTTCTATCGTGTTCTCAATATTCGAATCTAAGACTTCTGCTTTATGAGAAACTTAAGTTGAATCCTCGTACCAATTAAGAAACTGTTGAATCCTAACGCCAATGGGCACATTTTTTGTGACGATCGTATCCGTGCTCAAGCCGTTATATCCTACGTGTTGTCCGTTATGGGAGAACCTAGCCTAGCTTACCTTTCATGGATTTCTATAGCGTTCCCAAGATTCGAACCCAAAACCTCTATTTTATGAGAGACTTAAATTGATTTCTGGGAATGCGATAAAAATCCATGAAGGGTGAGATGGACTAGACTCTCCCATAGCTGACAATACATTTAATATAATTGGATGGGCACAGAGATCGAGTCATTATAAAAAATGCGCACAAGTGATACCTGGATTCAGTTTAAATCTATTTTAAGACAGAGATCATGGGTTCAAACACTGGGGACGCAATATAAATCTGTGAGGGGTAAGATGTGCTTAGGTTCTTCTATAGCGAACTGTATGTAAGTTAACTATTTGGGTATAGAGGCAGGTCATTACAATTGAACTATGCACATTGATGTAATAGAACATCTTTATCATGTAAATACCTATTTCGTGATTTTTTTCATCTCAAATGGCTAAAGAGTAAGGTCAGTTAGGGCACCAATGTAGAGGATTCTCTTATTTAACACGCTGAGATTAAATAATCATATTTAGAGGTATGATGTAATATGTCCTCTTTGGATACTCCTCAATCCATTAAACATATGATCATCTTATGATACTTGGTTATGGCACACTATCATGTTACCTTTACTTTTGTCCAACAAAATGGTCTTTCTTTGTACATAGTTACTTGGTTGTCCTTAGACATACTGATGCAGCAACAATAGGAATACCCAATGGAGAATGAGAAAACCAATCAACAGAATTAAGAAATAACGGGAAGAGATGACATAATAAGAAAACAATAGAAGAGGGAGAAGAATAATGGAAGAAGAGAAGGAAAATTGCTACAAGCTACCAAACAATTTTATTCAATCGTCAATTAAATGAAATTATATGGCAAATTAAGTTTAAATAATAAAAACAAAACCCTAACTAGGATGGGCTTAGGTCAATACAAGCCCAATTATATAAATAAGAGACAAAAAAAAGTCCAACTAGAAATAAATAAAAATAGATGTTTTCGTCAACTCTCTCGGGGTGGGAGAAAATTCGACCTTGTCGAGTTGATAGATCACTATATGCAACCCCTTTCTTTCTACACTTTTCTTTGTTTCTTGTGAGCTAACAGGTTTTGGAGGTAACAAATTAAGATGAATCTTCTTTCTATTAAACACAAAGGAGAAAGGATTAGATTGACCATAGATGGTGACATCTAGATCAAACAACCAATATCGCCCCAGGATGATGTGCCCATAATCTATTGAAATGACGTCACACCATATATGACCTTTATATTTGAGGAACTAGATAGGGACTAGACAACGCTCTTTGACTCTATACGGCTAAGGATGAAGAACTGGTTTCAACCCAAGATGGAAAACAGTAGCCATTGAAACCACTTAATGCAGCTACCATTATCCACAATAATTTTACGGCCCTTATTATTGATCTTGATATAAGTGTGAATGATAGCATGACGACATCAATCATTGGCATCCTTGGGTTAGGTAAGGGTACAATGTACGACACCGACTCTAGGCGTGTTAGGAGTAAGGGGACTAGTCTGAATATAACCTAAGAAAGTTTCTTCACTATCCTCTAACTCATCAAACTCTTCCATCTTAAGTTCATAAACTTGGTCCTCTAATCGTTCGTCTACTATACCCTCACGTTCTTCCATAACTAGGGCTCGACTAGGATACTTAAAAGAAATGTAATCAAAACCTTTACAGTTGAAGCATTGCAAACAGGAAGATGCCCTTGAAACCTTCAGGACATTTACCTTTACTATCCGATACAGGGGTAGCATTAGAAGGGGAAGGCCCTAGAATAGGCTTAGGAAAAGGAGTGGATGCAGAAGAGGTGGCAGTGTGGATGTCACTACGAGTTCTATACGGTGTCCTAGTCACTAACTCCTAATCTTGAACGAAGGAGTAGGCGTGGTCATGAGTGGTGATGCTTTGAAGGACCAGCTCGCGCCTAAGATCATCCTTAGACCTTGCCTAAACCTACTCAAGGTCATGATCTCATCCTCAACGACCTGACATCTCATTCGAAACTCATCAAACTGAGTGACGTACTCAGTCACAGATCGATTGCCTGGCATAAGGGCATTCCATTGATCCAACAAGTTACCCCTGTAAGATTGGGGTAAGTACTTAACTAAAAGGCGGCGCTTCATTTCATCCCAACTCCCAACAGGGGGAGCATGACGTCTTTCTAGCAAATCCTCAACACTTTTCCAAAAGAGTTCAGCAGTGCCAATTAATTTTAGACTAGCAAATTGAACTCTTCGGTCTTTCGGGACTATGTGTGGCTGTTGACTATGATTTACGAATGGAGTGTTGAGTGGTGTACTGGCCGTGATTGTTGAGTGGCGGTGTGTAGAGGAAATCGAGATGGTGGTTGGTTGCAGTAAGGATGCGCCAGTGATTCCGACAGTGCAGGAGTGGCATCGGCGGGAGTAGTGGCAGGTTGGGTGCTAGCGGGAAGTGGCGGTGCCGATGTCGTAGAGAATTCGGCTTATGGGATATTAACAGGGTGGAAGATAGACACGAGTTGGAATTGGGTTATCGAAGATGGGTTGTGGAAGGATAATGGGCTTGGTTGGGTATTGTATATAATGGGCTAGGGTTTGCTGTTGTGATTAGGGTTTGAGTTATTGGGCTAATGTGTTGGGCTTCGTGGACATGGGTTAATTAGAGAATTGCTAGACTGAATAGAATTTGAGTTGAATTAAGATTGTAGGGCTTGGATTAGGATGTTATCTAGATAAGAGGATTGACATTGGAAAAAAGCATTTTACGAAATTTTAGGAGTACCGTAGAAAAAAATGACTCTTGATGATAAAGAATTTTTTTTCCCACTCATTTTTTTCCTCGGGTGTGAACAGTAATTTTTATTTATTTCATTATTTATTTTACTAAGAAAGAAAACTGGAAAAAAAAAATTGAAAACTGCTGCTCTTACTACAAATTGTTTCATTTGTGGTGTTCTACAAGTTTTTTGCAACACCAATAGGAATACTCAATGAAGAATGAGAAAACCAATCAACAGAAATAAGAAATCAGGGGAAGAGATGACGGAATAAGAAAATAATAGAAGAGGGAGAAGAATAATGAAAGAAAGGGAAAATTGCCACAAGCCACCAAATAATTTTATTCAATCATCAACAAAATGAAATTATATGGCAAATTAGGTTTAAATAGTAAAAACAAAACCCTAACTAGAACGGGCTTGATTTCCAACTACATAAATAAGAAACAAAAATAAAGTCCAACTGGAAATAAATAAAAATAGATGTCCTCATCACATACCACAGAAGAAGTTCTTGATGCTTATATTGAAGCGATTGAACCCGTCCGAGCAGCATTGACATCTTGCTTGCGTTGCCAAGTAATGGATGACATCATGGAGGCTTGAAGAAACATGATTGGTTCAGAGGATTTGATATGTCTGATGAATACCTAAGAGATGTACACTGGAGCAGTGGAACAAGCAAGCTATCGAAGTTGGGGCTGCAGTTTTTATTGCAGGTTCTAATATTTTACAAAATTTACTAGTCACTCAATTTTATGTTCGGCTTCAATTTCTATCTTTAACATTTGTGGCTGCATTCTTTCAGTAATCATGTGGTTGTTTGGGATTCACTATGGGGACAGAGAAAGAGGTGATGCTGAATCATCAATCCGATCACCCTCATTACCTTGCTGTGTCCCGAAGTTTTTGTAACCGGCAGCCCCTTCTGGCATGAACTCATCTCCTTGCGGCTATCAAAGCTCTGCTGATTATCCCTTCCATTAACTTGCCTAAGTGCATTAATGTTTTTGGTGTGGAATGGCCATTTTGACCCTGAAATTTTATGATGCTATTTTCATATTATGGATAAAAAGGTCATTTCACGTTGATAACTTCCTAATACCATTACAATTTTCCTTGAACTCCCGAAAGCTATTTTATGTTAAAAAATGACCTCTATCAACTCACTTGAATCTCTTCGCAATGAAGGAAAATTAGAATTTTGTTATTGCTCAAAGCATTAGATAATTGGCCATGGTGTGCTTTCCCCTAGTGGTTAACGGATCCTGGCAATTCAAAAATAAGTGCTGGAGACTGAACTATAACAAGCATTAATATGACCATGTAATTTTCCTGGACAGTGCATGGAGGCATAGGTGAAGACAGCACACTCCAGTCATTGTTGGAGGCTGAAGGAGTCCTTTATACAGGTAATACACTTCTATTGGAGCTTGTCAGAGAAAAATATATTACTTTAAATCACATTTAAGACAAGTAATGGATCAAATACCAGTTGGTCCATTTGTAAGTTACTTTTGTAAATTGACATATGCTATTGTGAATTTAAGGCCATCGCATCAAGGCTTCCAAGACATGAATGGACAAAGTTGCTGAAAATGAATGTGCTTTGACAATTTGTCATAGCATTTGTGTGTGACATATACACAAGGAAACTTTACATGCAAAGCTTAGGGCAAATAAGGTATGTGCGGAGAAGTTCGCAGAATTAATCCTTAGGTGTAATCTTCGGTCATTGGGGCTGTGCTTCCTATTTGAAGAGGCAACAATCGTGGAGTCTTCAATCATGGAGTTGCTGACATTAGGCTGCATAATATCTGTTAATTTAGAGGCGACAGTTGTGGAGTCTTCAATCATGGAGTTGCTGACATTGGAGAGCATAACATCAGTTAGTTTAACCCCACCCCTCGAGCGGTGGCAAGCAAACAGGGAGATCACAGAACTCCTAGCATTATTGTGAAAGAAACTGGAGATATCCTCGAGGATATATTTCAAAGTATGTAAAACAAATTAATAACTATATAGTTGAAGTCATAATTTATGAATTACTGGTAAATTCACCATATTTCAGCAAATAAATTATAGCTAGGGCCTTACAAGATGATGCCTGCTGCATGAAAATGTCTTGTTTAACATGGTTAATACTGGAATCGCAGGTGCAAGTGGCATCAATTAGACTCCATCACCCCTCTCTATAATAAGGTTGTGCCCTTAACTTCTACGGGAATAGTTATCCTTCTATTCTATTCTTCCTTTGTAATTCATGTAAAATTGCGAAGAAGTGCTGGAACTTAAGGTTCAAGATCCTTGATTTGGCATCAATTATGATGGGTTAACCTTCAAATTATAAATATCATTAGTTTTATTATTAGATGAGATGATATGATAATTTAGTTATTTGAATAAGAAACAAATAGTTTGACAAACATATGAAAATTTCAATCTTCTTGAGCTTTTGATATTTGAGTTTTAACAATAAGAAATAGGAGCACTGCCTATGTTCTCTTCGAAATTATTTCATGTGAGATTCTTACTTTCGTTTCTGCATATTTAGGCTAAAAGTCGGCATATTTTGAAATAATAATAGACTACTAGTTGAGCCTTTATCGTGCAATAGTTTACACCATCACGTCACAAGGTTCTTTGGGACAGCGAATGGGACTAATAGCAAACACCATGCAGTTGGAAGGATTTTCTTGTACTGATGCATTCGTTAATGTTGACAGTGGCTAGGTATGTCTGGCTAAACTCTTATCATTTGATACATTGTCCTTCGTGACACGAAAAACATAGGAATACATTGAGGTTCTTTTCTTATTTATTTTGTTCATAAGATTTTTGGGTAGGTTTTGTCAGTGACAAATTAGTATTCTTGGCGATAGGGAAAATTCTATAATGATACACATATAAGATGGTATATCGTGTGTTTTACAATGTTCGAAGGGTTACTTTACAATCTTTTGGTGAACTTTGGAAGTTGTCTTCTTCCTGTGTTGTTGCATTAGAATCAGAGGGGAAGTGACTTTACTTAAACTGCATTCTTTAAGTGGATAGAGCAAATAGTATTATTGGGAAACCATATCTTGTGATTTGAATCTTCTATGAAGTCTCGTTTTGATCCAGTTGTAAAATACTATTGATGATACTATTATTACAGGGGTTAATCATCAAATTAAATACCGTTCCTGGGATGACACCTTCCACTGTTCTAATTCATCAGATAACTATTGATATGCTTGTATATTAAATTGAGGTGCTCACTCAGTAGAATATAAATCAACTTAGAAAAGCAAAAAATCTGCAAATTCTTGTTTTATTTATATTTGGATAGTTTTAAGGTAAAAACTAATGTCGATTTTCTAACTAGAACTTGGAAATATCACTAACCATATAGATATTATTCTTTGCACAGGCAATGGGAGAGAAACCTCCCATATATCCTCAACCGTTATTTCATACACTACTTGACTTGGCCTCAGAGAGGTTTGTGCAAATTCTTGTTTTATTTATATTTGTTATTTTCTTTTCGGATGTTGTGTTTTTACTGTGTTATAAACCTTTTCCAATTAAAAAATTTACGCTTACACAAATTTTATTTCATTTTATCTCTTTGTAGTTCCGTAAAAAAATTACTATGCATATCAACTATAGAGAGCAAAGAATCTCGGAAATGTCTTTATTGCTTAGTTTCTGGCAGTAAATGGAAATTTCGGGTTTTATGGCTTTAGTTGTGTCTTGCTGATAATGGCATTGTAGGCACTAGAAGAGCCATTGTTCTTTAAGGTTGTGAGAATTCTAGGCCTTCCAACTAATTGATTGATCATAGCAATATGACACAGACGGTCTGTGTGGCGCCTATGGGTACCCCACACCAAGCATAGAGGCCTAGGCGACCCTTCCACCCACATGTTCAGCAAGCTCGCCAAGAGCACACACATGGGATTGAGAATAGGAAATGACGATAATACTGAAGTCGTCATCAGTGCATGTTAGGTAGTACAAATCAAATAGAGCTTATGGCAATCCTATCAGGCCTATGAAAATGGTCAGTTCTCTAGGTCCATGACTAGTGGCCTTCCAACTC